GATAATAGCTGGATATTCTTTGGATTTGATCTTTTTTGCGACGATGAGACATTACAAAATAAATTATAATTTTACGAATTAATTTAATTTAAAAAAATTTAAATTTAAAAAACAAAGGTTGCCGACACATTGCTGACATCAAGACACAAATTTATAATGAGGAAAAAAGCTGAATATAGTAATTGAATATTGATAAGTTAATTAAGTCTAAACGATATGGCAATATCGTAACAATAATAGGCACGTTTACAACAATCATTAGAAAAGCTGTCGTGAAATTTATTTTTAAACAGTTTAGCACTCTCTGTACGTCTTACGTAATCATTTGAATGAAGAAACGAAGAATATTTCTTAGCCGCAGAGAAGCGATTCGCGATCATCATTTTTCTAATTATTCTAATCTCTCGCATCGCGATAAATCGCGAGAGAACGCATCGCGTGTGAAAAGATGACGTTAGATTTAATGCCAAAGCAGTCTTCCTGCACCTCTCGAAATGCCTAAGGATGCAACGTCCTCGACGCAAATACTCTGTACTGAACTATGTTGCACAAGCACGATCGTTATTTTTCCGCATGTTTAATGCCTCATAGTACTTATGCGCTTTCGGTGAACGGCGGTGTAAATGGAAACATTATTGTATCACATTCGACGCTTCGCATAAATAACAGTTCGAACGATCGCGTTCACAATGTGTTTATATATAGATTTATATATAGATGTACTTGAAAGATATCGCTATTAATCAAGGGAGTTCTCTCTAATTAAGAAATTATGATTTTAATGGCTTTTGTTCAAGTGAATTATGCCCAGTTTAAACAGTCATCTTTGTAGGGATTAATGATATAATAAATATATTATAATATAATTATATAATTACATAGAAAATATCTACTTCGAATTATTAAATTTATAGTTATTAATTATGACTCAATCTCTTGTGCGTGCATATATACGTTTTAGCTAAAAGCGCGTTTTTTCGGCAAAAGAAAATTGAATTTTCCGGAAAAAGTGGAATATGGTAATTCAGCAAGGACACGTTACGTTTAACGGTTAATGCCAAAGCGCTCTTTCCTCTATGATATCATCGGCTACGATGTAATATAAGCCAACTAAATGAGTCATAATTGACGTGTAATAACTAAAACGTGCACTCAGATAGATGTGTTCTCGATATATTAACATGGTTCGAATATATGTCGGTAAGGCCCCTGGGCTCTTAGCCAGCCTTACGCAAGACCCATCACGTTGGTCCCAGGGAGGAGGGACCAGATTGCCGGATAGTGAAAGCAGTCGAGGCGAGCAGACAAGTCGACAGATCGATCAGACGTTCGAATTGAAAACCGTCATGATGACGGTCAGTTAATTAGTTTAGACTTTCTATGAACCAATTGTTTCTAAAATATAAATATATTAGAGAAACATAAGAAAAATAATTAATATGTATATATATATATCTTGTTTAGTTAAAGAAGTTGTGTGATATCCTATGTTTCGTTCTATCGATATTGATAATAAAGTAATAGATAAATATTTAAAGAAAAGAAAATACATATTTTATCTTCCTTAAGAAAGTATTTACATTGTATATATCGTGTTCTATTTTTTACATTAGTATTATATATTTTTATATCGTATTCTATTTTTTAGCTTATACTTTATAAACGTGCTAGGAACGGAAAATTTATTCTTATCGAATTTTTCGCATTGCAAGCAAAATGCAAATTGTGATATATTTCGTCGAGCGCTTCGTGAATTATGTAAAGAGAAAGGTTGGTATCAGCCAAATGAAGAGAAATTATTAGCTCGGAAAACTCGCTCGTGGTATATTATTTATTGTGCACCGTAAATCTCGCCAAATCGTCAAGTAGTTCTTATATAAGTAGTTTTTCTCAATATATTCGAAAATATATAAAATATAAGAAGTAAAATAAATTTTCAGTATGTCAGTACAACGAAAATTGTAAAGCAAATATGATAAACTACAAAATATCCTTATTTTGTAATTTGTTATAATTGATTTGGCTTTGTTTTTATTAAAGTGCTCAAAAGTTCTCAAAAGTTCCCAAAAGTTCTCAAAAGTAAATGCGACTGAAGGCATAACATCTATAACGTCAGATGTTGCAATGTAATCTTATGATGAATGGGTTAATTAATTCTCACGCTGACATTTGACTCGCCGGAGTGAAATCCAGGATGCGTTCGAAGAAGTGATTTTGCGAGTGTATTTCGCGATGTATTCTGGAGTATTGTGGAGTGAGGAGGTTTTCGACGTGCAATCTTTCGTGTCAGAGAAAGTCATGCTCATTGTAATACACGATAAATATTAACGATTTGACTTATACGATACTAGCAGTTAATATTGAATGTATTATATCAATGAACAAATTCGATAATTGTTATACTTTACTAAAGTAATTTTTGAATTTTTGAACTATTATATTACTTATAAATTCTTTTCTTTCAACTTAAATAGATGTAAAACTAAACGGTGTTCTTTATATTTAATAATAATAATTCTTAATCTTATTACAAAATAATCTTAAATACAAAAGAATCTTATTTATTTTATATTCTTAACATTTTTCTGATAATAGTACATTGTGCTTTATTAAAAATACTATTTTTAGGAAACTTGAAACTTTTTCACATCTTTAGCTTAAATAATTAAATTATTTTTGTTAAGAATATTTTTTAGGGTTTAAGAGAAGTATTTAATATTATCATTTTTGTAATTTTTTTTTTTTTGTAAAATAATCAAATGTTTTGCAATTGTTTGATTATTTTATAAATTTTATTATTTTTTTATCTTGTATACTTCTCACACACGATAGAACTTGCATGAACATTTTTAACACTTTTAATAAGATGAAAAGATAAAAATATTCTCCATTAAGTATATATATTTTAATACAAATATTAGTTTTTTTAGTATTACTTTTATCTTCAGAAACTAGAAGAATTTAAGTTTTATTATTATTATTATTATATATAATTAGACGAACTAAAATAAATATCGAATTTTATGTTTAAGCAATACGTCACTACGTTAAGTAAATTTTAATTTTATTACAAAAACAGTTAATAACCAATTAAAAAATTTTGACTAAACTTTAAAAATCTCTCTCTAATTAAAATAAATTTTAGATTTATTAGTTTCAAATTTGTGGAAGAATTTGTAAACAGATTTTTGGCCACAGTCTACGTAAAATATACTAAAATAATTATTAAGTAATAACATATAATTCTTACATTTATTAAAAATGGTGTTACTAAGAGACAGTAAAAATAGTATTCAAAGTGAAAGACTTATTTCCCCATTAGAGTATAATAAATAAATTTCATTCCTTAAGTTATTTAATCGCGGAATTGCGAGCGACTGTTTTGCGTTCACGTGCTTTTACAATAAAATTTCGACATAATCGATAATTATATAAAATCGGACCGGTTCGAGCGGAGGATTTATCTAACAGATATTATATAGAACTTGATATTGTCGGTCCGCGGGGTTTTCTTTTCGCGGGTGCGGATTAATGATCCGCAACCGACAACGGCTTTATTACGGATTTTCCGAATGCAAATTTGTTTACGTAAAAGGAGAAAGGGGTAGTGATTCGTCACGGGGAGGGCGAAAGCGCGATCGCTCTCGCAAAGATCATGCAGCGACTTTTACGTAAGCATGCATATCACATGCATTTATTGTTCCTATGAGTAAAAAAATGAGCATTACACACGTTGCGGTTAACTGCGGCATCCTCGCTTCTCCAACTCAATTCTTACGTTTGTAATAGTCCTCGCTGAAACATTGCATTTTGTTATAAAGAACAATTTGATGTATTTTTCAAAGTAAGCCTAATTTTGAAATTTAGAGAAGAATATTAAAAACAAACAGAGAAATTAGCAAGCAATTATCGACATTTATAATTGACAAAGAATTAAAGATAAAAATAACTGAGAAATTGACCTTAAAATTTATAAGAGAATCTGTTAACAAAAATATACAAATAATTTGTACAGATTCTCTTATAAATTTAAGGTCAATTTCTCAGTTATTTTTATAATTTTTAATATTTTAGAGAGTTACTCAGTATGTATAATATAAATAATAGAAAGAATATAAAAAAAGAAAAGAAAAAAGCTCACCATCCCTGCACGGATTCTGGTTCCGTGCACCTGAAACTGTCTTCATTATACACCGTGCCGGGCTCGCATTGGCCCTTCTGCGGTACTACACCGTTCTTGCAGATGTAGAACTTGGCGCAATCCTCGGGATGCGGATACGTGGGATGTGGCAGGATTCTGCCGGACGGGCCGGCGACGTCGCCGTCCGGGCATACAAAGCCATCGTCCAGGACATCGCGTTTTACGTTCTCGCATAGACGAGTGGCGTCTGCTGGCCAGACACAGCTTGACATCTTGGGTTCATAGATTAGTCCGGGCGGGCAGGGTACTACTTGCACTACTCCATCAATGCAATTGACGAAACGGTCACACGCAGTCGGGTCCTCGTGGCTAAAAATGCCGTTTGCCCGCGGACAGCCCTTGCTTGGTTGCGGCTCCTCTGTTCAATTATATAATATATTATTATACGTATAATACCAGTGCATATATAATTAGTTTCATGTACATTAATTATTTTATAATTGTGATACAATAGAATGTGTTTTTAGATCCAGGTTTATCTTGAAATTAACAATTACAAATAAAATTTATTTTTTTTGTTTTAGCGATTAAATTAAACATTTAATCATTAGAATGTTTAATATAGATACCTACAGCAAAAATTTAAAAAATTATACAAAATATTTTTAATATAAATTTGGTTATAATTTTATTAAATTTATCTTGCGGTTTATTTTATTTTTTAATAGATTTTTGTCAAACTTTAATTAAAGTTTTCTTTAATTAATTAAAATATTCTTTGTATGATCATGTTATGTTATTATTACTTATGAGAAAACGTAAAAAAGACCGAGACAGAATTCGATTGAACGTGAAAAAACGTGAAAAAGACCGAGACAGAATTCCATTCGTCTAAAAACCGGTTCATATGATCGAGTTCTATTTTTACAACACTGCTTAATCTGCCATTCTTCTAGTTTGTCAAGCTGAGGAGAATATACATGAAGTATAAAAGAATCTTATATATAATTCCTTTATTCGAGTATTATTGGAAAGAATTTCCTTCTCGAATGAAAAATCTCTCAATTTTAAAATAGTATAAATATAAAATTGAATGAGTTTAATGATATAGATAACAATAAAGATATTTCTCTGTAAATAGCAAATAATATTTTTATGTATGAAACTATTTGAGATTGGCATATAATAATTTAAAACATTAATTTCTAATCTGAAGAGCAAAATGGTAGGATCACAAATTTTCTTTTAATTCATGATAATCGTAATAATCTAGATGTAATAATTAAGAAAGATTTAATAAGTTTAGAGGATTTTAATAATTCGGAACTTACGCAAAAGTGTGCGGTCGCCGCAAGGTACATTCGCCGGTATATCGCAGAGTTCCTTCTTGGGATTATCATCCCTGAAGATGAGTCCATCTTTGCAGAGTTTCTCCTCAGGCTGACCATCCACGCAGGCGTAATAAAGATCGCACTGTTCGGGATCGGGGAAGAAACCCTTAGGCTCTGGACACCGGAACTGAGCTCCGCTCAAGGTCGCCAGAATTACCAACAGCAGAAGACCACGAAGAAGCACATGCTTTCCCACTTCCAACATCCTGAAGAGAATCCTAAAGAGATTCGCGAAGTCTTTCAAATCTCTGACTTGAAGCTGTTGTCCTGAGGAGGCTCTCTCTCTCTCTCTCTCTTTCTCTCCTCCCTTTCTTCCCTTCCTCTTCTTCTTTAACTTCCTCGTTCTTTTCTTTGACTTCGTCTGCAGTGCGTCGTAACGCTGATAAAACGTGACTGCGGATTTGAAACGGGTTCTGTTTCACTCGACAGTCTCGACCACCACCTTGGTGGGTCCTTGCTGTGTTGCACATTTCCCGACCCTCCCTCCTCCCGGCTTCGCCCCCCTTTCGCCGAAAGTCTTGTCTATCTCTCTCTTTCTTTCTTTCTGATCGCGAGCAATGGTCTCACTGTTCCTTTTTCTCCCGTCACATGCATTCTATTGGATGCATAGACGCAAGTTTTATTGCATTGCGTTATTATCGGTGCATATAAATTCCGGACATTTCCGGGTACTGACGGCGAGACCGGGTCGTTACTGTTGTGCTACCATTTCGCGATTTGCATCCCTCACTTCACGCTTGGAATTCGCATTGCAAACGCGGCTGCCGTGTTACGTTTACTTTAAGTATCCGATCAATTTTATTAGTCCGAGATATTTTTGAAAGCGGAACGAGAAATTTCGTGGACTTTCGTAGAGTTTGAGGAGAGATAATTATCTATTTGTTTATTTAATAGAGCAGTTAATAGAGCAAATTAATTGAGCACTTATATATCAATTAGTTATCCAAAATTACCTTTCTGCAGCTGTGCATTATTATGAAGAAAACAAAAATAATGATCTTGTAGAAACTATATAATGTAAAAACTATCTATTTATTTAATGTACCAATTGCATTAATAATTTCATAACTTGAACAAGAGAAGTATGATCTTTAGGAATAATTGAAATGCATATGTTATATAAATGAGAGACTGTAAAATGTAATTTAATTTTATAATAGTATTAATATATATTGTTAAAAAATTCTTGCGTTATTTTCAAATAAAATCATATTTGCAAATGATAAGATATTGCAGTAAATGAATATCACCACGTTGTATAAAGTGCAGAATTCAATTTTTATTGAACGAGTAGATTTAGTCTTCAAAAAGCGTTCAGCAAGTGGCATTTGCGACAGACGCTCGTGAATTGGAAAGTTAAATGGAAGAGAGAGAGAGAGAGAGAGAGAGAGAGAGAGAGAAGAGAAAGAGAGAAAGAGAATACTGTGCATATAAACTCAACTTACCTGCCACGCAAAAGAAATAAATTGATCTTTCGCCAAGAAAAAGTAACGGTATTTCTTTAATCTAATGTGTTATGAAGATAAAAGTGTTTTTTCTGTAACGCTTTGCTAAATTATAATGATTTATTTCTAATATTTCTTTTCTTTTTTTTATATGGATTTTAAATTTATTTTATTATGTATCTTAAGGATTTTTACTTTTTTCTTCTTTGGCTTTTTACTTTGCCGTTAACAAACATTTGAGAAAGTAGAGTGAGTAATCGCATCTCTCGTTCGTATTTTGTTCGTATAATCGATGCAATACCAGAAAGAGAATGAAGGAAAGAGAGAGAAAGTGAATTGTAGAACGAGAATCAAGAGAGCAGTTCAGGAGAAAGTGATAGTCAACTGATCTCATAACGAGAATGATTCAAGGCCTTTTGCAAGTTCCTTGAATTTCGAGAATCGATCGACAACTGAGTCATCATTAACTTCTCTTGAGAAAAATTAAAATTATTTCATTAATGGTGTCAGTCCATTAATTTTAATAATAGCACCTTTCTTTTTCTCTTTTTATTTGCCATATAACATAAATTGTATTTTATTTGAAACCCAAAAAGTGAAAAAAAGAAAAGAAATATCTGTAGTTTTATGAGGTCTATATGTATCTTAACAGTTGAAATAAATAATATTGTTAACACATAATGAATTTTTAAATATTTCCGTGATAAAATATTTATAATTTATAATAAAAATTTCTTGGGTTATACCTATATATTTATATATATAATTATGCGAATCGAATTTAATACTATAAGTTCTTTTCATTACATAAATAAATTAATTTAATGATTTAAAAAAAAATGTTATCTCAATTTTATAGTCCGGGGCATTTTAATTAATAGGAAACTAGGGAAAGGAAATCAGGTTTCGATTAACTGAATCGAAGACTAATAAAGTAAAAATAAAATGTATTCCAAGACATTCAAATGGCTAAACACACACATGGAGTTACACGCTGGGCGAAGGAGGTGACACGTGATTAAAGTGAATGTGCGGCGTCCCGATGCGGGACAGATGAGCGTGGACGATTTCCTTACGGCTTCTCGTCCTTGTACCAATCCTCGCTGCAAGGTAAACGACATTTATTAAATTCCCCGAACTTTTTAAGCACGACAGTACTTAATTAACTCAAAATAAGATTTCATAAAAACGCAACTATATAATAATATAATAATAATACAATAATAATAGTAATAAAATAATCTTAATAATTCTGTTATACAAATAGCGAGAGGCAAATTAAATCTTAAAAATTAAAATTTACAATCGAAAATTAATTAAATTGAACACATAATATTAAAAATGCTTATTAACCGAGTGAGTTTGTTAAAGTTTTCTTATTTAATATATTATGACGTTCAAAGAGTAGGTACAACCAGAATTATATATGTGTCTGCATGAAATGTATTCGAATGATGTCAACATGTTTACTCTAATTTGATCTTTTGGTGATTATATTAATTGCTAGATCGTTAATATGAAAATAAAATGACGGAATAATATAGTTCGTAATCAATTCGTACCATCCACGGACGTTCTCAGGTGCATCACACCTCTGCTGCTCCTCATTGTAGACGGTGCCATCGCTGCAACCTTGTTCACGCGGCGTAACACCGTTTAGGCATACGTAAAACTTCTGACAGTCCTCGGGATGCGCAAATTTAGGATGATCGATCACCATGCCTCTGCTGTCAACCTGAGTCTCACTTGGACACTCAAAGCCGTCTTGCAGCTTCTTGCCCATGACTCCGCAGCCCTGCATCATGCAGCACATTTCTGCGTTATCGTGTTATTGCATCGATTTCAATTTAATTTAACGATTTCTCGAAAAATTTTGTGATTGGCCTTTCTTCGTTAGATTAAATGTTTTCTTTCGTTTCCTAATATTAGACATTCTAATTTTTTTATGCTGTTTTTTACAACTTCTAATTTATAGTCTTCAGTTTTATTTTACATAATTTCATTTTACATAATTATGGTATTTAAAAATTTAATTGAAAATTATATTGTATATAGTAGAAGATTAGAATTTCGTTTCTCGCATCTCCTGAACGTTATTTGTCTAACTTCTAAGTTCAAATGCTAACAGAATTACATCGTTAAGTTCCCACTATAATTGCAAGGAAATATCTGAGACCCATCCGACGATAATTGTAATTAGGAGAAAGTACATGCGCTGTGGGGTGTATTAGAAGTGCGTACTTTCTCTCAATTAAAGATTTAACTTCGGGGAAGTTCATAGCTTTTGTTACAGTTCCGAATTAATTATTCTAAACCTCCGTCGGGGTAACTCTAGGATTACATGCGGAATACGATTACGTTACGTGTACATGTACAATGTAAAAATCAAGATTTCATTCTTTTAATGCAATTAACTTATTGTAACACCGCGTGTCGTAATCGGTAAAATAAAATAATTCTTTCTTACAGTGAAAAAAATTTCTGGTTGAAATAGACGAACCAGAAAATTTTGATCATAAATCAGAATTTTGATCTTAACTAGAATTAACTGAATAGATTCAACCAGAAAATTCTGATTTATACATTTTCAACCAGAATTCCAATTAATGCAATCAAACTTTTTCAGCATACTCTGTAAGTTCTTTGGAGTACAGTTTTATTCCAAAGAGTGAAAATTGAATCAGTCTTGGAAAAGATTGGCTCAATTTTCAATCTGTAAGAGTGAGATTTTATTCTTCAGTGACAATTCACTCTAAAAATTTTAGAGAATAAGAGTTTTCTCACCTCGCGACCAGCGCTATCCGGCCACACGCAAGTTCCGCTGTACTCGTCGAAGTGCAGCCCAGTGGTGCAGGTGATTTCAATCGCCTCTCCGTCGATGCAATTGTAGAAGACGTTGCACACTGTCGGGTCGGGATGCGCGAAGAAACCGTTTCGTCGCGGACACTTCTTCGTCGGCTGTGGAGGTTCTATTAATGAGGACAATCAATTAATCGATCGTGCAGCTTTATTATCGTAATTTATATTCGATATTTTAACGTGAATGAATAGGTACTGTATTTCAATTGGACATATCAAATATACAAAACGCGCTTTATTGCATAGATATGAATAGATAAAAATAGACTTTCCTAACAAGAAAAATTTAATTAATAATTATTCTAATAAAGATAATATTATTCCACAGATGTTATATTAAACAAAATTATTAAATTAGCAATTTTATTCGATGTCAGCAACGAATGCATTGATTTTCAAAATGGTTCTTCACGAAATATCGTTTATCTTACGTAATTCGAGACGGTCACCGCAATCGACATTGAAGACGTGGTCACACTTGTTGACCTTGCGATTCAAGGGATCGAACACAAGACCGTCCGGGCACAGCTTCTCTGTTGCTACGCCGTCGATGCATTCGTAATACTTGTCGCATTGCCTGCTGTCCTCGTGTTGGCCGTCCTTGTTCGGGCAATTGAACGCGGCGTCTGTAATGTTGCCAACGATAATACTACCGCGGTCTTACCGCAGGCGGAAATCGATGTGGCATTTCCGGTAGAGGGAGGTGATCGAACTTGTCCGACCTGCCGTCGAATTCTTGGATCGACATTATTTCGTCGTTCATTACGTAATTTTGTCTTGACTGCGCACGACTATGCTTATGCAACTCGCCGAACGAGAAAACTGACATTTACGATTTAGAAAGTTCGCTCTCGTACTGTCTCCTCGTTAATTCTAACGGATATTTCCACTGAACTTACTCTGTTTCGCATTTTCTTTCTTTACTCCTATTGCAATTCCAGATAAGAATATTTCATTTGCCTTATATTATGAGAGATATAAATATTTTATATTAGTAATGAAATTACCATCGACATTTTTTCCAATATTATTTTATATTTGAATTTTAATTATGTTTATATATGTAGTTAAACAATTATATTGATTTTTCCTTTCGACTCATTCAAATATCAAAAAGTATTTAAATTTTTGAAGGTTTGAATATAATCTACGTTATTCAAATTGAAAGAAAAAATCAATATAATTGTGTCTAACTACATATATAAACATAATTAAAATTAGAAAGTAAAGTAATATTGCAATATCGATGATATTAATTTCATAATTGATATAAAATATTTATGTAATAAGATAAATAAAATATTCTTATTTTTCTCTTACTATAATTAGTAAAGTTAATTTAGAGAATGTTAATTTAAAGAACGAAGCACGCATCTATAAGACGTATTTAGTATCTTCTTTTACATAATTAATAAATTTTTATTTTACTTCTTTTTACAAAATTTTACATCCGATTTATATTTAAATTTGTCTAGAGTAGATAATATTATAACTAATTTTATTAATTTTATTAAAAATAAATATAATAATTTATAATAATATTTACGTCATATTTAATAATTAATTTTTCATCATATGATATTTAATAATTAATTTTTTAAGAATAGCAGTAATTAATTTTAATATTGCAAAAGAGCATTTTCAAAGATCTTTAACTATACGAGAACTTTTTTTGTAGACCTGTTCTTTAGAACGTTTCTATCATTTCTGATTTCTTTTTGATCTTTTTAAACGAATAATCGATACTTACGTGTCAGCGCGATTGCGCTTAACAGCGTGACGATTCCGGTCGTGAACATTCTTCCGGTTTGCTTGTGCTTTCCTGTCGGATGATCCGTCGCAGGATGATCCTAGGTCGCACAAAGGTTCACTGAAACGGGCGGAAACGGCTAAATTAAGCTATTTAATTTTTAGTCCTTCTTTGAAATGGCCCGAGGTCGCCCTCGCGAAACTGCAGCTCTTCGGCTACTCGTCGGCTGGG